GAAAACTTGGATTTCTGAGCAGAGTCACTGTCACCAGCATAGATAGATGAGGGAACTTCAGCTACCCACCCCATCACACTGGTTCTTGCAAGAATACCAGGAGTTCCATACTATGAAATGCTTTAACTAAAATGAAGCATCACTACCAAGTTTAGTGTTATATTTTACTTTAAAATATAAGCACTAGGAGAATTTGCTTCTTTGTAAAAATGATATTTTGAGATATTAACTAGATTATCTTCTTTCTTTCTCCTTTATTACCTTCACTTGGGTTGCAAAAGATAAAGTTCAGAAAGAAAACAGAGAACAAAGGCCCCTAGTTCCTAAATGTTGACATCAAATGCTAAGTGTTGTGGAACAAAGCAAAAGAGAATTAGGAGGTAGATATAGGATGCACCACTGGCATCTTCTCTCTTTTGAGATCCACAGAACACTCCATAAGCACAAAGCTGCAGCACTGGGCAGGGTGACTGGTCTCAGGACCAGGCAGTACAGGCTTGTCTCCAGGACCACAGTGCCTAACCTTCCCAGACACAGCAAAATGGCACTCAGCCCTTCTCCAAGCTCATGCCAAACTGAAGGGCAACGACAAAGAGCAAATCTCAAATGAAGCTTGATTTTTAATCTGATGTTGACTAAACTTGGAAGAAACAAGATTCCAGCTACTGAATTAAGAAAAGTAACAGCTCAAAAGCAGAGATAACACTTTTATTACCGAATATATGCTTTGTTTTATATATCTGAATTTAAGCACTGTGAAGCCCACTTCCTTTTTCCTTAAGATACACAGTGCTTGGGTTGAATGCAGTTTGGTTGTAACTGGCCTTCCCATCATACTGGACCTTGCAAGTCCTTGAAGTTGTTCAACTGAGCAAACTGGGAAAGGGAGCAATGAGACTCAGCAGAGCTTGGAAAAGCTGAAATACATCCAAGTTGGAATTGAGGGAAGGAGAGAAATTGGGTGAACACAGAGAAGGGTTCCATGTCATTTGTTGTCTCTGAAGTCCCACCAAGAGGGCATGACTTTCTTGATCATCACTTACCCAGGCTGTGGCACAGCATGAAAGAGCAAGGTCAGGAGTTCCAAGCAAGCACAAAGATGTGCACAGATGATGTGCAAGAGAGAGCGACAGACACAGGTTTGGCTGAAAGCATCTAGCTTGGACGTTGTTTGAGAAATTTGATAGTAAAACACTTTCGTGAATAATATTGTAAGAAATACACTTGATGAAAATGGGCAATCAAAATAACCTCAATTCTCCCTCAAACAGAATGGACAGGATGATACTATCATCACCTTAGATTAAAAAAAAACTAATAATTCATTCATTTCTGGCATTCTGGCCCAGTTCCAAGACAGGTAATTACATTCTACTTACTTAACTCCTCCTGGGACATGTATTAAGTATGTTTCTCATCCCTTCTGGTCCATGGTTGTTCCCTATTCTAAATCTCTTTTACCCAAGAGGATGGTGAGTCATAATTCATCACGGACCTGGAGATTTCCAGATGAGAAATGCTGTAAGTGTAAATTTATCTTAGAGCAAGCCAGCATTCCTTCGATGTTAAACAGTCAAATCATTTCCCCTTGCATATATCTCCCCTCCTTATTTGTAAGTACTCTACATTTATCTCAATCTTCCCCATCCCCTTAGCTGTAAGCATATCAAGAAGACAGAGTAAACTTTCCCTTGCTTTGATAGGTGCCAGCAAATGATAAATATACCATAAAGCTTGGTGACAGGTCACTTAATTGCAAGTTCACAGATGCAAGCAGGGCCCTATATCCTAAAGCCAACCATAAAATCATATCCCATGATACTCCCCACCAAAGCTTCCAAGTCATCAGAGCTAAGATAGATATCAAACTCTTCTGCTTTCCTTGTTCATCTGACATGTGGAAAACTAAACAACAAAAAGAAAAATATGAAAATATGGATGGATATTTTGAGCAGGATGGAAAACAGAAAGCTCAACAGGGTGTAACACTTAGTGAATATTGGTAACTATTTATGAATATGGGTCTGTACCCATGAGTGGATGAAGAAAGCAATTAATCAATGGGTTCCTTGAGTTCCAGTGACAAATACCCAGTTAGAGAACACACAAAAATGCACTGGCTCATAGAATTCAAATAAAGCCACATTCCCTGGATTGCGCTAAAACAAGATATAAACTGCCAGGCTTCTATGATAAAGGGGACCAAGCACACATGCAGCTACCCTCTGGTTCATTCTGTTGAATTCCCGGACATGGTCTACAATAGCTGCCACATCACACCTAGAGGTCATTCATTACCTGAAGAGACTGATCCTGAAATAAACCCTGTTGCAAATGACACAGAAAAGTGTTCTTCCTCAGCCCAGCTGGGGGTGGAGGTTCCTTCAGGACTAATCAACTGCAACCATGAGGTGCATCCAGCATTGTTATATGATAGCAGCCTCTCTCTCTCTCTCTCTCTCTCTCTCTCTCTCTCTCTCTCTCTCACACACACACACACACAATATGAAGCAGTTCCAGGAAAGTATAAAGGAGTAGACAGGGTAGAGGGTAGAGGAAGGTGCTGAATGTATAATCTCAAAAGTCAAGGGTTAACTGGAAAAGTAAGCAAAGAGTTAAACATGGATTAAGCAAAGGCTACAACCCTAGAAATAACTGGTTACACATTAGCCTAATGTTCTGATCATGTCATGTGGATAAGGAAGTCTTTTTTTATTAAAAAAATTAAAAGAAAGAAGGAGATTAAGATAAAAGAGGACATAACAATATAATAACATAGGTCAAGACAGAACAATTTAAACAACATAGTGTTTCACCACAAGATACTCCGACATAACAGTAGCTACCATAGTGTCTCTTTCCTTGAAATACTTGAGTATGACTTCGTATATTATAGCATCAAACACAACATGACAGTGTAAAACCATTCAAGAGAATGAAAGTATTACAGGGTATTTAGAACTAACAGAAAATGAACAATGGTTTCTATATTAACTCCTTGCCTATAAAAATTTTTGTTTATACTATCACATATAATAAAATTCAATAAGATACAACATGATAAACCAATGGAGACAGAAGAACAAAAGCTTCATGGAACTTCAAAACAAGATGATATTATATCAGCACTAGCTATTATATTGTTTTGTTTTCTTCAAAATAACTGTTCATATCATCACAGACAATAAAATCAAACAACCCAAAATAACATCATTCCAGTTAATGAACAAAAACATTATAAGGCTTCAAAGCAATATAATGGGGAATCATGTTTACCACATACTTTTATGTATTATTACCATTTCTTATACTAGTGAAACTATTCGGTGTTTATACATGTGAGTTTGATTTATTTCGCTTATGAGTATGGTCTCAAGCTGTGCCCATTTATTTATAAATATCTCAATGTGATCATTCTTTATAGCTGAGTAGTACTCCATTATATAAAAATAACACAACTTTTTTATCCATTCCTCAGTTGATGGACACTTAGGTTGTTTCCAAGACCTGGCTATCAAAAGCTTTTGAATCCCAGGGCTAAAGGAAAACAAAAGAGATTTAGAGCTGGCGTAAATCTGTATCCCTCATGTCTCAATTTCTGTTGGAGTATCCTCTGCTCTTCACTCACCATTTTTGGCATCTGGGAAAGGCAGGAGTGGAGGCTTCTCTAGTGTCCCATCTAGCCTGCCTAGTATAACCTGAAATCTTGGTGTTCTCCAGCTGCGTCTCTGGGCACAAAACCAAGATCAAGAAACTGAGATCAGGAGGGGCTGCCCTCCAGGACAGCAGGGTGTTTTGCAAGCATACAAGTGATATAGATTTATGCCAGCTCTAAATCTCTTTTGTTTTCCTTTAGCCCTGGGACTCGAAATCTTTTGAGAACCTTAAAATCCGGGCTTCATGGTGTGCTAAACTGTCAGGAGGGAAACAGTCACATCCTTAATTTCAAAGTCTTCCTTCACAGAACTGCAGCCTGCTCTTCGTGATGCTTCTGGGCCTTTCTTTCTCTCTACAATTGTAGACTTTTTTCCTCCCTACACTAGCTAACCTGGGCAAGTGGAAAGATGTGTAAATTCGGAAGTAGCATCGCAACAAAGACAAGGAAGGTTGGCAGGCACCGTTTTAAAACTCGTGTAAGGTACCATTAAAATATATGGTCAATCCCACCTCTATGAAATTCTGACTACATTTCACAGTCACCCATAACCATGACTGTAAAATCTTTGGTACGAGTTGAGAATTCTGATGCTTGCATACAAACACTGCAATGATTTTGGTTTCACAAGATGAAATATAAAACGCACTGGCCCCACAGTGATTAACTGGAGTTTTACAGGCGATGTTTCACACAAGCACTGGGCTGCATGGATTCAGTTACTGTAGTTACGATTTCATTAGCTTCTCTGATAAATAATGCAACAAATTTAATGATGCATTTCCTCTTTTTAAAAAAGCCACAGTGGAAATTCCATTTCATAAAGCAAGGAAGAACAATGGCGTCTGTTTAATTTTTATGACTTTTAAATTAATCTGTAAGGTTTCGAGGAAAGAATGCCAATATGGAAGGGAAAAACCGGGAGGAAAAAGGTTAACCCGTTTAAAAGGTGCAATTGTTTCTGGGTGAGTGCAGAATGGATTTAGGTCAAGAACCAGCACGACAGCCCCACCTTCCTCCACCAAGTCCTTCTTGATCACAAAAGGAAAGCGGTCCTGCCAAATTAAAACGCTCCATAACAATAAAACCTGATTTAATGCAGTCATTATTTTTACATTAAATCCGAATATCATTTAAAGCGTGTTATTTTAAACCTACCACACTAATGCAAATCCACCGTTCCTTATAAATCAGACCTAAACGTTACAGCTATTGACAATCACAATCCCTCGGCCCCAAGGACATTGTCTGTCCCCTCAGCCCTGACTCCAGAGAAGGGAGGGGAGCGTGAAGCAGCCACGCCCACGCGGCATAATCTGCGGTGAAGAGTCGCTTGCTGCCTAGAGTAAGCAGCACAGAGACTGCAGTCAGTCGCTGACACCCTATAGGTCTTAGCTTAATTTGGTTCACCATGTTATTTGGTCCACCTGGTTTCTGCAGGTCACACTAGGCAGGAGGAAAATGTGATGCTTGGATTAGAAAAGGAGAAATCCTCCAAGTATTTAATGTCGGGGAAAGGCAGAGCTGGGAATTGGTGATGGTGGAGAGGATGTGTATGGAAGCACCGAGAAGCCACAAGGGAGGTGGTGGTGACTGCAGGGAGCTGGCAGGACAGAAGGAAGATGAACCAGAGCCAGGATGCCGGAGCCACAGCAGCCTGTGCGGACTCCGAGGAAGAGCTGCCCTCCATAGCCTGGCTGCGGTCAGTCCAGTCGTACTGTGACTTCTCCCTTCCCCCACCCTTAGTCTCCTCCCGTGGGAAATGCAAGTCAGGATGTTTGTCCCCGAGACCGCATCCGCGCAGAGGGACAAAGAAAGGATGTGAGGAGAAACACTTCCCCTCTGGTTTGAGGGTGCACGCCCTGCAAGGCGGCTCCAGGCCTGGCCTCAAGCCCCACCAGAGACGCTCTCCAGGCATTTGCCAGGTTTCACTCCCATGTGGCAACCTTCTATTCCACGTTAAGCCGCTGGGATCCCATGTGTTAGGGTTCTCTTCACCCTACAGGATCTGGGATGCGGGATGATGGGTCTCCTCGGTGACGCCCTCCACGGAGAAGCCATATGGTCTGGTTAAATTACGTAAGTTTAAAATTAGTATTTTCCTGGTGGATTTAAATCATATATATCATGTTGTGACTCATTTCATCTCTACTAAATATTGTTGGGGGTTTATGTTGTTAATGATTATATAATTATGCCAGTTTGTGCTGTCCTTGCACTGCTACTGTTGTTATTTGCCTTTCCTAGCCCTCAGTGCTGGAGATCAGAGGACCTGGGGCTCGCTGGGAAGCACTGTATCCCTGAGCTACCACCGCAAATACTTTAACACCATCAGATAAGCTTTGCTGTTTACCAAGATTCATTTTTACATTGATTGGTATAACTGGTATCTGGATTTATTGTTGTTATTTTATTTTTTACACTGTTTTTTTCTAGCCTGTCTTTCCCTGTCTCTCTCTCTCTCTCTGTCTCTCCCCTTCCTTTCTTCCTTCTTTCCTTGTCCCATTCTGTACTGACTCCATTTTTTTCTCATTTCATCAACTTTTTCACCTAATAACTTGGAAATTAAAAAATATAATTTTTTTCTTTCTTGAGAGGTTAAAAAAGTGATTACTTCTCTAGAATTTCAAGCATGAAAACTTAAGAACTCTAAAGTCAATCATTGTTTTTACCTTTGTCGGAAACAATCCCAGAACTCCAGAGCACTTTAACTTTAATCATCTTTGCAATGATTTTCTCTCAATGTTTTGTTGTATAGTTTAACCCCCAGTTTAGAAGTCAACAATGTTTTATCTAATCTATATTTTATACTTCCTTTCATATTTGCCAATTTATATGCTTTGTTTCCTTCCTGCACCTCAGATCTTCTATCTGGAATCATTTTTATTTTTTCTGAAACACATATTTCCAAATTTCCTTCACACTCATCTGTGGATAATAAACACAATTTTCATTTTTCAATAGTTTCATTATACATAAAGTATAAGCAGCATGCTATAGACTCTGACAACAGTCCAGTGTCAAATGGTGAGTACAGCTGGGGAGGTTGGGTCCCATGCTGAGTCAGGAGACTCCGAGGTAAGTTACTCCTTTAATAATTACCATTTTGTGAGGACTCAAGGGTCCTCTGAGAAATACCTTACCTTCTTTGGAGGGCAGGGCCCCCAGGGACCCAATAGCCTCCCACTTGTCCCCACTCTTAAGAGTTCTACATTGCTTCCATTTCTGCCCCCTGCCTCCAATCACACAGACCCATGGGTGTCAGGTTCTGTCCTAGATCTCGAATGTACGGTGGAGGTTAAATAAAAAGTGAGAAATCGTATGATTTGTAGGGCTCCAGGAGGGTCAAAACCCTTTAATTAAGCTAGAGGCTTCGAGGGTAAAGACAAAGGATTCTCTGGATCAGTCCACTTATATTAGGACCAAGAACAAAGGACGGAGAAACTGAGGAAATTGCAGGCAATGAGCAGGACCTGGAAGTCACTTCAAGGATGTCTCTAAGTAATGAATCAAGTCAGTTTAGTAGCACTGTCTTATCATGAAGACATGGTAGAAGTGAGACTGTAGGAGTAATCTTTGCAGCTGCAATCTCTACCTTGTTAATTGGGGTTGGAGCCAGAGTGTCCGCAGCTGTGGCCTTATCTTGCCCTTTGAGGTATCTCTGGCCTCACAGGCCACTAGGGGCCTCAGCCAGGACCAGTGATTCATAGAGGTTCACTTACTATGAATCAGCTCCCATCACCAGGCAAGGGGCCTAGGCCTAGGACAGACTCACAGATAAACATAGAAAGCCAATTAGTAAAATTTAAATCCTGCTCAGAGCTGCTTCATAGTGGTCTCCAACACATGGAGACATACAAACCATAACTAAATCACTCCAGCATACAGTACACTTGCTAGATATGTAAATAAAAACTTGGAGAAATAAAAATAGCAAGATACTTCAACATAACTCAGGACACATCTTAAAGTCAAAACATAAGTAATTAGTACATATACAATAACTCACATCAACAAATAGAAAATATTCTTATTTGCATGACCAAAATAAATCCTTGGCCACAAAGAAAACTTTCACAAAACTTTGAAGTAAGAATTGTAGAAGTCACAGGTTCAATAATAAGCTAATAATTTCAATTTATAAGTTAATACTCCTGGCTAAACCTTGCATCAAATATGAATTAAAACTGAAACTTCAAACTATCTACAAAGCCATCAAAATAAAACTATTCATAGAAAAATCTGTAAGACACTGCAAATTAGGCTTAGAAAAAATTGCCTTCTCCAAGGCTAATCACAAAGATTCTTAGGGTCCAGAAAAAATAAAAGCAAAAAGACAGTAAAATTAACTGGAGCTAGAGAGAGAAAGAGAACATATGAAAAAAAGGAAAATAAAACCAAAACATCATTCTATGAAAAGACGAGAAACAAAAGGTAAACCCATATAAAGAAACAGAGGAAAAAAAACATTTAAAATTAAGAATAAAAAAATAAGATAGTCACAGATGTAGGAGATACCAAAATTAGAACATGTGAATATTCTGTTCAAATTAATGGCAGTGAATTTAAATTTCCAAGCAAACTTTCAAAGGAAAACTTGTTTAGCGCAGTTTGAATGGAGACACTGGAAAAGAAGTCCAAAGTCCTCTTTCAGATGTAACTGCAACACAACAAACCCCTGGAGAATTCAGAAGCTGCAGGTGATTCCAACGTGGCACCTCCAGAAGCATAATGATTCAATACTCTTTTCTGAAACACTGTGTGACTGTTAGTTGCAATAGGTTGACTGGACTTGAGTAAGGCTGCTTAGCAGAACAGTAAAACTCTGATTGTGTCTGTGGATGATTGACATGTAGGCCAGCAAACTGAGGGCAGTGGACCTGACCCTGATGTGGGTGGCACCAACCAATAGATTTATTGTCTAGATGGAACAAAAGGGATAAGGAAGGAAGTATTACCTTTTTTGGAAGAGCTCCTGTCTTCACCTTTGCTTTTGGATACTGACTGGTCTCTAGTTTCTTCAGCCGCCAAACACAGATTCTTCGCCTTTCAATGCAGACTCACACTCAAGACACTACAGTGAACTTCCAGGCCTCCAGCCTTTGCCTACTGCTAATCCTTTGGCTCTCTAGTACACAGACGGCCATTTTGGATTCTACAGCCTCTGAACCCACAGGAGGCCAGGATGGCTCTTCCACCTTAGATTTGTAAGCCTATCTAAATGAATTCCTTTGTATAATTGTACGTATGTTTATGTTGATTCTGTGCCTCTACAAAAACCTAATGTACTCTATAAATACAAATTAGGATTGTCGATCTCAAGAATATATCATATTGCATCTTATTGAGAGTCCTAGGTATTCTAAAACTAGCTATGAATAGGTTAATGGAAAGATTTTGTAAAGATAACAGTCTATCAAGATGTTGATTCTCTTTGGAATCAATACAAAGAATAAGTTATAAACTTAAGATAAATCTAGAAGTTTGAATTCTCTGTTTCCAAGGACTCACTTGAAAATTCCAATTTCTCAAGATTTTCAAAGCATCAAATGAAACCTTATCAAAATTTACATTCCTGAGCTTTTGTTGACATTGGCCAGTATTTGGGAAAGTGTCAACATCATGTTGTTTTCATGACTATTCAGATGGAAACATTTAAATACTCATGAAAAGGGAAATTAGTGATAATGTAGTCTCCAAGTTCAGGTCATGCATTTCAGTAATAGATTACTTCCTTCCAAAACAAAAAGTGACATTGAACCATAGTTTTTGGTGAGCAGTCAGAAAAATAAACTTAAAAGTATATCTATCAAAATGTTCTATGGAGATTATGTACTATGAGGGAAAATAATTTTTCTGGACAACACTTTCCTGACTGAACCATAGAAATTGCAGTCAATGAAACCGTTAAGCACAGAATCCAGTAAAATTGGGCCCACATAACTGTTATGGGGGCCCATAACTGACCTGACCCACATAACTATGAGACAATAAATATGTGCATTGTTTCAAAATGATAGATTTGTGATAATTTGTTATGCAGCAATAGAAAAATAATGCACATCCCTAGAATTTTTTCCATTCTATTCCACTGCCCATGCATCCTCTCCCTTTTCCCTCAAGATAAATAATGTCTACTTGCCTTTAAAATTCAGTTCAAATATCATCTCTTTCAAAAACATTATTCTTTATTTCTGCTGCTCCGCCCTTCTTCTTAAGATTTATAATACTAGTAGACAACTAATATTGTACCCACATATATCTACATTTGAATCATCTCACATATCTACCTTCCTGATCAAGTGTGCACCTCTTTGAAGCAAGAGGTTATGTTTTAGACCTATTTTATTACCAGTGTCAAACTGATGCTTGCCACATTGTAAATATGCAATAAATATCTGTGTGGTATATGCATCTAAGTTCAAAACTGTTTCATTCATAATAAGTCAATGTAATTAAAACTTCAAGTCCCTACTTCACCATGTTGGCTGGAAACTTACCCTCAGCTTACCTTTTATTTCCTTTCTCCTTCCTAAAGATCATGTCAAAAGCTTCCCATCTCATCTTGTTCAGCAGCACCACGAGGAAGGGACTCAGCCATCTGTCAACATCAATTACTGGCCTGGACACAGGGATTGAATTATCACCCAACCCTTCCACTCTGAAGACATCTCCTCCTAGGGATCCCTTAAAGAAGAGGTGGCCTGGTCCCCGGCTCTCCACTTTCACCTATTTCTCCTCCCAGCCTATCGTTTTTCCATTGAGTGATGGGAAAACTTCTCTGAAATGTGCTTCAAGTCCACTCAGCCTCTTTATCTCCTTGCCAAAGCCTCTAAATCCTTAAAGACTGAGAATTTTAGACAATAAAAGCCAGAAATCCATACCAGCTTCCTCTGCTTTCAAACCTAAAGGGAATCTTCTCCAAGGGATACAAATACAGACTGCTTGTGTGCTTGAAAGGAAGGAAAGCAAGAGAGAAAAATTGCCCAAATACGCATCTGAACATATGAACTGGTCTCATTTTGGATTGAATATCTCAATTCAGTGATTAACTTTGAGAAGCAAGGATAACTATGCAAGGGTATCTAAGCAGAACAAGAGTCAGTAATTAATCATCTATTCCATGGTATGACATTGAAAAATACCATCATTGGAAATCAGATCAATTTCTTTTTTTTTATTTTATTTAAGAGGAAAAAGAAAAACACAAAACAAAACAAAGTGGTGTAAGGTTACACATAATACAGAACTACAAAAAAAAAAACAGTAAGAAATCACCTATTAATAGATTACATATTATCATCTTGGAAATAGTTGCTCACATCACATTATCAAAGAATACAAAGTAGACATTCAAACAGAGAGACTGCTTTCCCAAATGTAAGAAGATCAAGAATAACACAGACAAAGACATTGCTCAGGTCCCTATTGCTTCCCAGCAGTCTCCAGGAAACTGGGCCTCAAGTGTTTGTTGGGGCGATGGGTTAGGCTGCACATTATTTATAAGTTTCTTTCCTCCTTCTCCAGCTCACTTCCAATACTCTGGCTTTTAGGAAGCACTTCTACATAAACTACCTGTCTCAGGATCTGCTTTCTGAAAACATCCAGACTAGCACAACCCTACACAAGGTATTTCTTCTGGGAAAGGACCGGTGAGAACTGACACACTCAAAAGTAAGTACAGATTGCAGGAGGAATGGGAAGGTGAGGTCAGGATGGGGTGAGGTGGGGACAGATAATTAAAATAGGAAAATTGGATGGTCAGCTACAGAGCTGCTCAGTGATGGACTGTAAGTGGCCTCAAAGAGTTCATATGTGCAGCGTCCAGGCCAATTGAAGAGCAGGGGCACACTACCTGCAGAACCCACTACTGACAGACCATGGACCGCAGGTGGAGAGGGGAAGTGCAAGCTCAGGCCCTGACAGCACTCCTGGAGCGATACAAATGCTGACTCACCAGCCACACTCTGACCTCACCCTCAGCCTCCCAAAGTGGGGCAGGGAGAGGAAAAGATGCTTAGGCAGCTCTCTGTGAGGACAAATAATGCCAGCTTGTGCGGAGAGGGGCAAGCAATGAGGTGCTGGGAAGGATTACAGTTCTGGAGCAAGTCCATGAGCACACCACCAAGGAATAGTAGAGGGACAGCCTGAGGCCACCTGCACACAGAGCCTCTCCAGGGTGTTCACTCTGTAGCCTGAGTTTCCCAGGCCACACCAGTCCAGGATTAATAACAATGGGCACATCATAGAAAGAACTTCATTTAACAATCCCTGTCTCTAGCTGCTATTGCCAGAAGTCCAGCTCCCTGAAATGGCTGTTCAGTTTATTTCTGGGATGTTCAGTGAGGTCAAACATGCTCAGCAATAAGGTTTAGCATTTTCCCCACAGCAGCTACCACTCTCTTCCTCTCTTGCTTTAACCACTGTGCTAATAAAAGCCTAATCAAAGACTCCATCCTTGGTTGTACCTCTGAGTTCCCATCAAGCTGCTGGCATCATGGCCAGCTCTAGTAAGTCCTGGAAACTTTGCCATCCCCATTGTGCACATTAAATATCTCTGTTTCCATCACAGACTGTTCCTTTTTGGGGAGTACCTCTACTCTTGACAGGTACCAAGGACCTCAGCGATGGAGACAAGCCTGTCCTCACGTAGTGGCACCTCAAACTGTTGAAGTGTGGTGGTGTCCAGGTCAGAGAAAAAAGCATTTCTCCTTCCATTTGCTATTTTCCGTTCAACTGGAGGTGTAAGAAGGATAATAGCCTATATTTATAAATGCCCCTCAATTTACAATGCAGTAATATCTAAAAAACCATTTTAAGTTGAAAACAAGCAAAATAAAAATGTATTTAATATATCAAACTACCAAACACACTGACATTAGCAATGCAGTACAATGTAGAATACTGGTCAGTTCTCCTTCATGATTGCAGGACTGCTTGGGAGCTGTGGCTCGCTGCCCAGCTCTCACCTTTGCAGTCTCAAAGGATATTCCTTACCAAGCCAGGGTAAAAAGCCAGAGAGTCAGCTCTCTGTTCGTACAGCCTTCAAATGTTCAATCTCTACCCTATTTAGCCACAGTCTTCTAAAGACAGTAGGACTGTCATTACTGTCCTATTGCTGGCCTCACCCATTTTATCCTGCCCAACGTTATGCAGTCTATGCAGCTCTTTTCTGAAGATCAATGGTAACAACCAGCCCTTGAGCCTTACTGAAGTTACTGATATTTTGCAATCGGGAAAGTCTCACAACCTGACACCTTCTGAGGATGAAAGTCCAAGGCTCATGTTTCCTATCTTGTGGTTTCCGGTCTACCCAATTTCCCTCTCTGTGGTCTCCTCTGCCAAGTCTCCATGGGTCCACTTCCTTTGAGATGCTCGGCCTTCCCTCATTCTCTCTCTGTGTCCACAGGGAGAGAATGAACATATTAATGTTGAATTTCTCCCCAATCTCCCCACCAGTAAACGTGTGGCTCCTCATTCATTTAGCTTACCAAAACAAGCCTTACTTTCTTAGTCAGCCCTGTCTGGCCTGAGTTGAGGGCCTCATTTGTCCTGACAAGGCTCTGACTACCCCTAAGTGAATGAACATTACAGGTGAATCTGGGACATTTCCCAAGAGTCCCTGCATTGAAGTGTGGCATCCAGTGTGGCACTAAGAGGAAGTGGTAGAGGCTTCAGAAGGCAGAGCCAGTGAAATTGGGTCATGACCTTAAATAGGACATTGGGACCTTGGCCCTTTCCTGTCCTTTTTTGCTTCTCATCTGCCTTAAGGTGAACAGATCACCTCCACCATACTCCACACCATGACCTACAGCCTGGTCACAGACTCAAAGCCAACAGAACCAGGAGCCCATAGATTGATACTGTGAGCCAAAATAAAACTTCCCTCCTTTTAAGCTTTTTATCTTGGGTATTTGTCACATCTATGGAAAGCTAACGACATCAGCCACCCTTGCATCCTTGGACAGAGGACCACCAGACACCATCTCAGGTCTGGCATAGAAGAAGCACCAGGTGAGCTGCATTGGTTCTTCTTTGGACATCTTGGAGATGCAACAAGATGCCACCTTTGCCGCTCCAGGAGATGGGAGGTTGGGCTGCAGACAGGTTTTGCAGTTTGTCCTAACTCACATCTGTTTGCAGGCTTCTCGAGGAAACCAGTGTGATACCCTCAGACAGGGTCCTCAGTTCTGGGCCAGACTTGCCACCATGTTCTTCCTGACTTTGGACTGTGCCCTCTGGGAAAGCTTTTTATCTCCTCACACACAGAGATAACCACAGGCCTTGTAAATCTTTGGAGTTCCTTACTCAGATCTTTAGCCTTACACTTTTTGAAAGGTAGAGAAATTAACCTTTGCTATGATAATTCCTACAATGGGTGGTGACTATTGTTTTTAATCACTCAGATGATTCTGGTAAACTCTGCTCCTGGGAAAACTGATTTTCCTACACTGAAAAGCTTTAAGATAAGGGTGTATAAGGGTGTGTAAGGGTGTGTGTGTGTGTGTGTGTGTGTGTGTGTGTGTAACATCTTACTCCAATACCTCAAGCATCCTGAGTTAGTCTTGACATTGGCCTTAGCTCTAGATCCGCACATGGAAATCTGACCCCCAGCAGGATCTCTTGCTGAGGAGGCATGGTTCTCACCAAGATTACCTCAAGTGCAGGCTCTCTTGCCACTCACAAGGTGAGGATGGAGGACAGAAGAAGCGGCTCTCCTTAGCTCAAAGGCCCGAGTTTGTGGCCACATGAGTTTGCCACATGAACTTTCCCTGCCACATCTTCCTCCCTCTGAGTCCTGAGGCTCTCCATTGGCCTCCTCTGTGAAAATCACCCACACAATCACCTCTCACCCTCTGACTGGCCTTACTCCCATGTTAGGCATAGGGCAAACTGGGTGAGGGCCAGCTTCTGACCAGGACCTAGAGATCAGAAACTGTCTGATTTTCACTGTCCTAGATCCCAGTCTCATGTTGGCATGAGTGACATGGCTGCAGACTGGGTGGGTTTAGCAGTAGTTGGGGGTAGGATCCAAAGGTCAAACGAGGACTACACAGGGTTGGTACATAGTTAATCATGGACTGAATCCATGACAGACACTAAGTGGGGCCACTTCTGATGCTCCAACCTGAACTCAGGAGGGCCAGTGGGTTTAGTATCGCAACGAATCTCCACCATTCTTCCTAAACTGCTTCAAATCCTTCTCCCTTACAATATATGTGTTTTTTTTAATTTGACATTCTTTCTTGCACACCATACAAATTGATGGGAGAGTGTATCAGTCACCTGTGGCTGCTATAGCAAATTACCAGAAGCTTTGCAGCTTAAGCAGCACAGTGTGTATTCTCACTGTTCACAAGGCCAGCAGCCTGAAGCAGTTTCTCTGAGTTAATGAAAGGATGCCAGTGCCCAGTCTCTCTCCTGGTTATAGGGGGGGATATAGTTCTCTGCCTTGTCTGGCACCTTCCAGCACTCTTCACATTCCTCTCCTCATGGGCCTTCCGCTGTCCTCTCTCCTTCTCCCTCCATCATCACCATCACATTGCCCTCTTCCTCTCCGACATCAAATCTCCCTCTGCCTCTTTCCTATAAGGACACTTGCATCCAGGCTGGGTGGTGCATGCCTGGAACTGCAGCACCCTGGAAGGCTGAGGCAGGAAGACTGCAAGTTCAAGCCCTCCCTGGGTGATTTAGTGACTCAGCGAGATTCTCACAAAATAAAAAGAATGAAAAAGGCTGGGAAGGTATCTCAGAATGAAGGCCTTGAGTTCACTTTCCAGTACCTACCACCAAGAAAGACACTTCTGATTGCATTTAGGAGCCATCTGATAATCCAGCATAACTGCTCCATCTCACCATCTTTAACTTATTCATATCTCCATAGACTTTTTTCCCATACTCCTGGGATCCAGATATTGGGACCTTCTTATTATCTTGAAGGACCATTATTCAGCTGCTACAGAGAGAATCCCACTCCTTCTGAGGCCCAGAGAGAAGGTCAGACTAAAATGGTAATTCTCAAACCCACTGTTTTCAGCCTTTGAAACCCAAGCTTTCCTGCTCTATCATAGTACTTCTCATGAAATCATGGTGAATTTTTGGATGTAAGGAATTACAAATTTACCTAGGATTCCCCCAGATGGAACTATATCCCTGAGCCCTGGAACCACTTAGGAGTAAGTGCTTACACCGTGCCCCTGGGCAGACACGGAATATTCTCAAGGCCTCTGAGATCTGTGGCCACAGCCAGGAGGGTAGGTTGTTCCACATCCGCAATGGCTGAGACAGCAGGGACTTGGTGTTCAGCAGAGGTTCCCTCTGGCTTTGAAGATGCAACTGGTATCCGTTATCCTGAGAGGAGTAGATCAGGAGAACTGTTTTCACCGGAGCAAGAGAGCATATTTATTACATTACAGAAATACCTGCACAGGCTAAAATGCTAAGTCAAATCATGCTGTATCCAGGCTCTGTCCTTTCTATGTGTCATCACATGTAAATCATGCTTTCATCAATCTCACGTGTACTTGACTTACCCCTTTAAATTGCTCCCAGAGCTGCAATTTCTCTCCATCTGTATGAGGACAGCAAAAGCAAGCAGAGCCTACCTCCCAATCATTTGGAATTTCCAGTAAACATAAATTTCATGTAGTCTGTGAGCTTTTCCCTGCTGTTATCATTGTTGTACAAAAACAACACAGCTTGACTCATAAATACCATTGCCTATGATGAATCTGCAAGCAGTGCAAAAAGATGTTGGCAGTAATATTCCATCTTAAAGAGTTTTATTTTCCATCAGACAGGTATCCTTAGCTTTACAGAAGCATTCCTAAAGAGTTGGCTATACTGTATATTTTGTAAAGCAACTTTCATTTTAACATTGATTTCCATTATGTTGGAGACCTTCTTCCAAATCTTTTGCTATTACTGCTTAGCTACGATGATTGCACAAACAGAGAGAGAGAGAGAGAGAGAGAGAGAGAGAGAGAGAGAGAGAGAGAGAGAGAGAAGAGTCTGTTAAGCACCAGCTGCCTATCTGGGAAGCACAGCCCAACACAGAAGCATCCTGGTGCTGCAGGATGCTTCTTATGGCTCCTGTGATGGTACCTGAGGCCAGCTCCAAGTCAGACAATCTCCAGTTCCTTTCCTCTGCCCTGAGACTGCTGGTGAGGAGAAAGGAGGCAGAAACTTGTCCTGCATACATATCAGACCAAGTGACTCTCTGGTTTCAGCAGAGGTACAGGGTCCCTAAGGCACTTGTTGTGATCACCTGAGTCATTGAATTAGGAAGGCCTAAGGACACAGGCTCTTGCTTTTCAAGTTGGGTCACAGAGTTGCTGGAGGTCAGATACCAATTTCCTTCTGGCCCAAAGTGCTCTTTGTCAGGCATCAGATTCTTTTCTGAGCCTGTTCCCCGTTTGTAAAAGAATGGTAAAAAGAATAACCTAGCAAGTGACTGTGAAGATTGGACTTTTTTAGAATAGAAGGCAGCAGCTATTTTATTGTCTGCAAATGGCCAGACAATAAATATCTTATGCTTTGGAAGATGCTTGGTCAGTCTGTGCTATAACAGCTCAACCACACCTTTGCAGTGCAAAAGCAACACACTATATATTACTGAGTGGGCATGGCTGTGTTTCAATAAGCTTTATTTACAAAAAGAGGAACACAGAATGGACTTGACCCTATGGGCTACAGTTTGCTAGTCCTTCTAGAGTGCACAATGTAGTCCAGATACTGAGCCTGGCCCATTGCTCTCAGATCCTCTCACTGGCCTTCTGTGCATCTATCTGAGCTCCTGGAGACCATGCCCCTCAAGCTGCCTTGCCAGGTAACTGCATGGATCTAGCTAGTTAAAGGTGAGGCACAGAACTGGCAGAGCTGGTCCTTCTTCTGCAGCCTCAGCTCTGAGCCCCTCTGGGCTGGCCTTGCCTTGGGACTATACCAGCATCGTGCCTTACGTTTTCTCCTCCCAACCTGGGATGCAAGTGGTTCATCTCTGGGCTGCCTCCCTGTCCCATGCTGGTTTTCTGCCCCTCCTCAGACTCTCTGTAACTAAGTCCTCATATTCCACTGCATCTGTCAAACTAATTGATTTGAGCTCATTCATTTTCCAGACTGAACCATAGCTAAAAGAGTTAGTTCTGTAAAACTGGTTGAGTTTTCAATGTACGCCTCTTAACACTGAATATTTTTAGTTTTGGAAGTACCATTCCTCCACAATAAATGCCTACAAATATGTTCTTAAACAGTAGCAATATGAAAAGTGCAGGATATTAGTCATTTAGCAAATAGGTCTACTTTGAGCACCTACTGTGTGCAAGGTACTGTCCTAGGTCCTGGAGATACAACAGTACATCCAAGAGTGTACAGTCTAATGAGCAAGTTGATAACTTTACTTTTCATCCCATTCAATCTTTACATATTACATGGTAGTGAAAATTTTACCCCAAGTAATCCTAACTAGTGTTTATTGCGACCTTCATTTGTGCCAGGTTATTTTCTAAGCATCTTACATAATTTAATTTATTTAATTCTTTTTTTGTAATAAAAAATTATTTTTTCCAGTTCTTATGCTTTAACTCTTATAACAGGCAGTGAAGTGGATGATATAATTTTTATTAATAGATGATAAACCAAAACATAGCACTAACAAGTTTTCACCCTGTGCGAATTAACATGGCATTGCACAGCCCTCCCTTCAGCTCGGCCTTCCACGTTGTTTTTGGGAACCCAGTCAAACTGTTTTGCTTTGCGCTGCCTAAGCCCCTCCAATCAGCTGTGGATACGTCATTCTGCCCGCCCTTTCAACTGTACCCACTGTCAAAATCAAATAAAAATGCAGGGTTTTTTCTTCTGTTACTTCAGAGGGTACTTGCATCTCTTTGGCAGCCCTCCCATGCCTGCAGTAAAGGTCTCTTTTCTACCTCTGTTCTCTCTCCTTTTGCCTCTCTCTGCTATAAGAGGATCAAACAAGAAGTAAAATAATTCATCCAAAAACATGTATTATAAGGGGGTCAGTATCTCAAGCACATAACTGGACCACATACTACCTCCATCCCAAAAGAATAAAGGCAGTATTCAAAGTACTAAAGTCATGACAAGAATCAGGTTCTAAAGTTCTAATTACACATTCCAACCATTAGTGAATTGGCAGCCACCGTTCGAAACACTGAGACAGCAGCCAGTCCTCTAGAAGGAATAAAAAGTCATTACATTGTCTCTTTATAGTCTTCAGTAGACTCCACAGGCAAATATAAAACTCAATAAACAAACTGCTACACCAGCCATCAACAAAACACTTTACAAAATGCCCAAAAGCTAATAAACACTGGAAAATTCCAAAATCAGAATTTGTTAGATAGAAGACAGTCTAGTGTGTTTCTGTAAATATTTAAACCATGCATCCTTTCTTCAGATAAAACCTTTTTTAAGGATTTCAATATGTGTAACAGTTCACAGACAAAAATGGACCTCCATTTTTGGGACGGATGAGAAGTTCTAGAAACCAGCCCTCTGACCTCTATCTCTAGCTCCTATCAGCTTCTTGAACAGACTCCACTGAGCCCAGTTTTAAAGCCATCATGCTAGTTCATCTTAGTCTCTGTGAATGCCTAGAAGTAGCAAGACTCACTCAGGTCATTCAAGAACAGTGCACTAAAGTCATGGTCACACCTAGGCTCTGAGGCCCCTGCCAATGCTCCTTTCCACATCACAGCCATGTGCTCTTTTGACTTGATTTTCCAGGAGCTGTGAAGACCTTGGCAGATAACTGTGTCTGTCTTTTGAGCACATCCACATGATCAGCAATAAAAAGAGCTAAAATGAATGTCAGAGACTTGGCAAATTCAGTGATCTGAGCCAAATTCTTGAGGGTCTCAGGTTCTCCAGCTATGTGATCAGGGCTGCACTGAGATGGACAGAAAAAAGCAGCTCTCTGAGATGCTTGGAGGAGTACTTGGAACCACTCTGCAGAAGCATTTCTATGGCACCCACAGCTCCCTTCCTAAGGCAGCTGTGCAAGTTGCTGGTACAAATAGTCCCCAGGCTTGCTAGTGCTTGCAGTTTTTACAATGCAACAGTGGGACTCCTACAGCACCAGAGCCCCTCAGAATGCCCCATGCTACAGTGGCTTAGCACCTAATGCCTTTCTTGGAGGCTTTCCCTTCACCGAACAAATCACCTCCTGCTGCCATCCAGGCTGTGTGGGGTGCTTGGCTCTCAGCATGGAGAAAGGAAAGCCCAGGAATCCCCAACTCTGAGACAGCACTCAGCCTAGGGAACAACATCTCAGACACAAATTCCTGAGCAGAGATGGCAAGTTAGTGGACGTAAGGAACAAAACCTTGTCACTTTTAACACCACAGGGTAATATTTTTTTTTATCTAGGGATGTATACTCCAGCTCAACGGCCAGAGCAAGGTCATTAAAATTATAATAAACCTAAGGGAGTTTTACTTCCAAAACCACCAGCTGGGTTTCCCATCTGCAGGCACATTCCATCTCTTTGCTCACATCTCGTCTCCTTCTGAATAGGTTGTATCATTCAGAGTCACTATTCACTCACTGCAGATAGGACAGTGAGGTCCACTGTTGCTCTTAGGGCTACTTTCTTTGCAAGGTTTATTTTCTTTGCAATTAAGTGCTGGTCAAAAACTCAGAGGTTCTACTTGAATTACCATCCAGCCAAGCGATATAAAGACGTAAGAGACTGACAGTTTTCCATTGACAGATTAGACACTCGTTATTTTTCCTGGCTTTTAATGGCTTTTTACTCTCACTTGTCACTCTGGTGCTCACCCCTTCCAAGATGACAGTGCAAATTGGACACAGACTGTGCACTTCCAGCAGCCCTTCCAGAAACCTTGAGTACCTAATGGTTTGTCAGGTATTGGCTCATTTTGCTTTTCTTCTAGTAAATTCTTTTTTAAATTCCAGGAAATTGGTTAAGTTCCTGCCTTAAAGAAAAAGTCAATGTCCTTAATTATTCTCTGTTCTTCTAGGATGTCTGCTCCCTCAGGAATGAGCATCATCGACTTTGGCCTAGGGTCTAACATCATTAACCTTCCTGGAGTGCTCCAGGTGCCCCTCGTCCTTTGGGCAGAAACCTGCACGGAGTCACCAGCCTGACTCAGAAGAATTGCACTCGACATCTCGCCACATGGTAGGATTCGTTGTGGCCACCCTCAGCTTGTCACCCAGCTCCAGGATTTTCCCTTCTTGGCAAACTGAAGAAAAAAAAAGGAAGTGTTTATCTATAATAGACGGAATTTTGGAAAGGTTTTGGTTTTCTTTTTTTTTTTTATTCTTTCATGTATTTTACAATGGAATAAAGAAACCACTGTCTGTATCTCATTCTGATCTCACAAATTACTCATACATCCGTAGGATAAGTCATTTTTGAAGTTTCCAATGAAAGCAATCATATTTTTTGTTTTATTAAATAAAACACAAAAATAGGATGCAGCAGAAGGAAGCTGTCTAGAATGATACTGTTCAATACCATAGTCACCAACCAGTTAGCTGTTGAGCTCTTGAATACAATGCGTCCAGAAGAAAAGAGCTTAGGAAGTGCACACTGCACCGCATGCTCTATGTATCACAGTGTAAAGGAGAACGGAGAAGTCGTGGTAGGTTGTTACTGAAAGGATAATAGTTCTGATAGATACTTAATGAATAGGAAGCTTCCCATACCTTCTATAACCTATTTTCTCCTCCCTCTGAGCACTTGTCCTAAAGATGACAAAATATGATGTCCACAGAGCAGGGAAATGAACTGGAGTTTATTAAAAAGAACAAAGAAAAGCTCTCATTAACCAAAAAGGCTTCCAAGGGAGGGCACCCAGAAAATGCCCACGTTCAGGAGCTCATATACACCTGGTTGGGCTATTTTTGTGGGTTAAAGCACCCTCTGCACCCTTTGGCACACTTTGTAGCTTTAAGGCTGTTTACCAGGAAGAAACAAATTCAACTAAGAGACTGAATATGCATAACCCGAACAGTGAGGTAACACATGAAACATTGGCATTAGCCCTGCTGGGGCAAGAAACCAGGATGTCCATTCCAGGTCTCCAGGAATTCTCATGACTCAGGAAACTTTGAGGAGCTTAGAGGCAGGTCAGTGAGCAGTTGTGCTGTAACAGTTTCTTTGTCTTCTAGGTATGTTCTTTTCCTCCAAATCCCTTTTTGAGGCATTCGCTTTTCACAGTACTTTCCATAACTGTCTCCCATTGAAAACCTTTTCCTGGGCCTACCAAAGAGGGAGAGGGAATCCAAAACAAGAAATAAGGGGAAATAATGTAAAATTAATAGTCACTTTTGCCTACAATGGGGAGCTAAAAAGACCACCCAACATCATCTTTCTAGTTTTGAATGTGACCATGGCATGTGACAAGTTCAATCTTCTTCATCCTCTGTGCTCTGTGTGAATGAGTATCACTGTTCCTAAAATCCCAACTCTTTTTTCACTTATAAAGTACACATTTTGTTTCCTTAGCACACTCATACAAAACTATATTGTTCAACTTTATAATATCTAATGAGATAGACAATTCTTTTTAAGGAAACAAGAGACATTGTTGATAACCATTGTTGATAACCTTGCACTCTGTTTTACATCAGGTGCTATGTCTATCCTTGGTTTTGACTGACAGCTTTGTTTTGCCATATCTGACTTTATTCTTTCCCCCCAAAATAAGTAATAAGAACTAAGGAGTAATAAAACCCAAAATGTGTAAATTTTGTTGTAAAAAAGAGAGAGAAAAAAAGAGCTCTAAAAGATACAACAGCAAGTGTGTTTAGGGGTGTTAAATAGCTGACCATATTAATGTTTTTGGTTGGATCATTGAACACAACTGTTTGCAGTCTCGCTGTTCGAATGTCCACTTTGTATGCTTTGATACTGTGATTTGAGCAGCTATCTCTAAGATGATAATATGTAATCTTTTTTTTTTGTAGTTCTGTATTTCTTGTACCCTTACATCACTTTGTATTGTTTTGTGTTTTTCTCTTTTTCCTTTTAAATAAAATTTTTTTAAAAAATGACTGAAACATAGGTTTTGGGTATGGTTTATGTCTGGAATAGCACTTTAGAGTTGTAAATTATTTTTTTAGCCTAGTAGTGAATTCTCATTGTTTTAATTATTTGTTAGTTTAGGTCTTTTGAAGCAAAATAAAATGCCTCTGAGCCATCTGCTACTACACAAATTCCTGTGAAGCAATTTCTTGGGTCTGTTTTTTAACCTCACTAACTGGGGAATCGCGGAAGGAATAAGGAAGGGACCGTTAGGAGCCCATGGGTGGAGGGCTCGGCACCTAGTGCAGGATGGGGAGTGCATTATCAGACTCGATAGGATCCATGCACGTTTTTCTGAAGCTTATATCTTGCAATTCCACCACAATGGGAACAACGGTTGCTACACTTCGTCCATCCGAACAGTGCAAATATCTGTGGCAGAAAAATCTACACAGGGAGTCTCTGTCCTTGGTCATGGCCCTTGGCCAGAGATCATACAATTGTGAAAGTAATTTAAAAGAGACTAGGACAAAAAGTATGAACTGGTCATCCTCTTAGTCAGGAGAGCAACTCAGGTACCAGTCCCACTGCCAGTGGCTGCCTCAGGAGGGAGCCAGCCCACGCTGTGGGGAGGCAACCCAGGTCCAGCGAGGGTCTTTTCAACCACAGCCATGCACCTGGCCGCTGAATTTCATCAGCTGCACCATCCTGAGCATGAAAGGCCAGAAGTATAATAGAAACCAATAGTCCCTGCAGTCAAGAAGAATGAGGTCTGAAAAGCAGTGCAGAGTTGCTTCTTGTTTGAGCCAGGCACCTAATGTAGTGCAGAGAAAAGGGAAATGTCTGTTATTATTTGTGGGAAATAAAATAGGAGCCATAAAACCTAGAATCAGCACTGAAGCATTACAAAATGCCCATGTGCTTTCTTGCAGTTTAAAGAGGATCCCCAGAGGAAGTCACAGTCTCATCCTTTGATTGTTTTCCTGGTACAGTTCCTAGACTCCTGCCCGTTGTTCAGCATCCTTACCCTTTGTGCCCAGAAAGGTACTCTGTACTGACCTTTGCATGTAGGAAGCACTTTTAGAAACTTTCTCTTCCCTCATTGACTCTACTTAGCTAGAGCAGTTTGCATCACAGGAGGAGAATAGGCAATAGGAGACACTGCCAACACACACACACACACACACACACACACACACACACACACACACACGCACACGCACACGCACACGCACGCACAGCCTTGGCTTAAAACCCTCAGGGCAAAGAACATTTCCAAGCCCAGCCACTACACTATCTGAGTAAAAATAATTTTTAAATTAGAACAACTCCAACCTCATGCTCTACACAGCGATGTAAAGGCAGAGACTTGTGGAAACTGTCTGACATGCAACAACACATGTGAAATGGTGAGGGTGGTTAAAAAGAAAAGACGAAATGAAAATACATATTTGAGCTGCTTATTAAGAACAGAAACATTTCCAGGAATGGGCCCCTTGAGGAAACATTTGATTTGGCTGGGGATACGCAGTGCCTCTTAGGTACGCCCTGAGAAGATGTGATCATAACTTAATTTTAAATCTGAGGATTGTAATAAGAACTGGTTTTTTAAAGTCACTGCCAAAGAAAAGAGAGCAAGCATAAGCCAGCCCCCAGAGGACGAACTGTAAAATGTGTGGCATTATCCATGCGCTTAGGAGGAGGGGCAGGGGGCTGGCTAAAAGCTAATTTCTACTTCTCTTTTCAAAGCCTCTAGCAATAGGAACTCTGATTAAAGGGTCATCTGCTGCAGAGGATGCAACAGTGAGCTCCTGAGATCAGAGTTAGTGCAGGGGGCAAAAAGGAGGGAAAAGGACTCATCTTCCTTCTCCATAGAGAGTGCTCTGCCAACTAAGCGGTTTCTATGAGATGTGGGTAATCTGATGCTTTCGGCCTTAATCTTCCCATTTATGGGCCGATTTTGCATTGCTGGAGACTGTGTCCCTCCCCACGAGATGTTATTTTTGTAGAAGGAAGACTACACAATAGACAGCATGACAGCTGTCTTTCGCTCAAGTTGTACTCCCAAATTTGAAACAGCTAATGTTTTCTTTCCTCCTGAAAGAACTAAATCATAGCCTTGGTACTTACACTTGGTACTCACAGTTGTAAAATGGGCATAGTTGATCTTTGCCAAGAATGGAAAGTAATGGCTTGACAAGGATCTGCTTGAGGAACCATTTCCTGTAGCTGTGCTGCACAACCTCAAGACAGCCAAACGTCCAGGGGTTCTTGGAAATGAATTTAGAATAAATAGTCCCTTGGTTATAAACTTGAGATCAAGGGAAAACCAGTAAAAGTAATTTTACCCTTTATATCAGATTCACTGATTATTAAAGCTTTAATTTTACATAATATCATAGAGTCTATAAATCTGATATTTATTTAAAATAAATATCAGATACAAACCTCCCAGAGTTTAAAACTGATTCTAATTATCGCTCTTTAAAATATATTTGCATTTTTCAGAACACAACAGAAATATATTTGCATTTTTCAGAACCAAAAAAGCAAATGCCAAGAGTCACAAAAGTACAAAATTTCAAATCAGTTGATACTGTGTTACTCAAGGCTTTCTAGACACCACATAAAAATTCCATTAATTTGTATGGGTTTTAATATCCTGCTCCCCTTGCCTGACTACAATTCAATGACCTTCAAACGCAGTATCTACTGTTGCAGTTACTTTCATCTTTACCTGAGTAAAGTACAATCAATGTTCTTGTCCAGCAATTCCAATTAAGTCACTACAGACAGCCCTGCTGAATCTGCAAACTTTGCATTTATATTGAATTAATGAAAGCTGAAAGAAGTTTCCATATCACAGGCACACTTAAAACATCTTTGTCAAAAGGAGATGTAATTACAACATGGTCCACACATAGCAGGTTGATCAACTTGAGCAAGGTGTCAACCACAAATTGATCATGTGGGAATATCAATAAACCTCCCACTAACTATTACGAAAAGTGCCACTGTCAAATTAATATCCTAGAGCTGAGATGCTTCTGTTGGTTAGTAGGAAGATATACTTTTAGTCACTTATTTTCATGTCAGTGGTTTAAATAGACCTAAGGATAGCACCAAAGGCAATCCCCCCCCCCCGCAAACTAGTCTCCATGAGTTAGAATAACCACAGATCTTAATTTGAGAATTTATTTCCACATGTGAAAAACACAGAAAAATATTATTTATATTTAACATTTAGAAGAAAAGTACATTTTCAGAAAATAAAGCTGGATGATTCATAAGACAGGTGGAAAAGCAGTATTTGCATCTAGTATTTGGGACTTTTCTGACTTAGGCATTAGTTTAAAGCATTAGTTTCTATACAAATTTTCTTACTTGCTGGATCCAGTTAGAAGAGAAAAAATCCAAACTTTAAAGTGAAAGGAGAAAAAAAGGTACACCTGGTTAATTACTGACATATGCTAACCTATGCAATAATGTTGATTGTTGTTTGGCAAATTTCACTACTGTTTTCATCAACAATATTATGCTAATTCCTTACTTAAGATACCAGAAAAAAGACATCTCCAATTCCTCCTGTCTCCTAAAGTAATGAGGAATGACCCCATCCCGAGCCACAGTGCACATAGGGCTGCTGAAAGCGTGCACAGCACACTTGCAGATTTAGAGAGAAAACATGAGTTTTGCAATCTGGAGCTAACAAGAGGTTCTCCATAGCAAATGGCCCACTGGAGACGTAAACTAAGGTGTTTGATAGGAGCAAAAATCTCAGAGTGTGTAGGCAACTGCAGTGAGGTCCCCACAGAAAGGTAGAGAAATTATTTTTGAAAGAATGGGCTGCCAGCGAGGCTGGACATAGAAAAACTCTGGGACACAGAGCTGCAGCCCTGGGGCGCTCTCCTGCCATTAATCCCAGCACTCAGAGGGCCCCATGAGTTCAAGGCCAGCCCAGACTACAACAGCAAGACAAAGGGAAAAAAGCCCATACCGGTGGTGCCCATGGGCCCAGGGTGATCTCTCTCAGTAGGAGGCAAAAGTCACACCAATAAGGTAGAATGCTAGTGAATAAGTATTCAAAGATGATTCAGCAGATTTCACAGCAACCCTCAGTGCTGGGATTACAGACATGTGCCACGGGGGCTGACTAGGGAAATACATTTTTTAAAAAAGAACAAAAGATGACAAATAAAATCAAAACATAATAAAATAACATTAGAAATAAAAATTACTGAAGAAGAGTCAGGAACACATAAGGAAAAGCTTTAAAAACTGAGCTTATTAACAAAAGAAAAGAAGTAGGTTTTCTTAATTACTAAAGTAAATATTAATTACAGAAGATCACTAGGGGAGAGAAGTCACTGTATTTTTAAGAAAATAACCAAAAAGCAAACAAAAGAAAAGTCAAAGATAAAACAGAAGACCCCCCATAACAGGAACTGTTATTTGATGAGGAGCAATACCAAGTCACTAGAAAACAACTTGATACAAAACACTTTCTGTAACCCTTTCCAGAAAAAAAGTATTGTGTATAATCTGAAGTCATTCAAGAAGAGAATATAGAACTTCATTCAATGGAATAACTGACTACTGAATCAATTTGTCAAAGTATTGTAATTGTAAACATATGTAAAAATTGTTATACGTCAGAATATAAATATTAATAAGATTTTTTGATAACATAGAAATAATAATCAAATTACCAAAAGAAGAAGAAAAGCTTGGAAAAAATGAAAAAAGTTTGGAAAAAGAAGTACTCAAAGCAATAATGGTTGAAATGTTTCCAAAGTTTAAAAAAAGCTTTATTACAAAAACCATGTCAAACATAAAGAAAGTAAATATGCAGAAATTAATTCTTACTAAAAAATGCCAAGATAGCTAAACCACTATTAAGGAAGCATTAAGTAGGAAGACATCCATACTAGACAGTGTGTGTTTGGGTCTTGTTACTGGGGACCAACCAGGACCTTAGGCATGCAAGGCAAATGCTCTACCCCTGAGCAATACATCTAGCCCCAGATTTAATAATTTCTGAAAGTGTATTGTTGGGAAAAGGATAAAAACTAACAAAATGAAATAAAGATGTCAGAAACAAATTAAGAATCTATAGAAACTTGACATATAATAATCTGGTAAGCCTAAGGAGAGACTATTCCATAAATGGG